TCATGATCCCAGGGTCCTGGGATCGAGCCCCAAATCGGGCTCCTTGCTCAGCGGGAAGCCTGCTTCTCCCTCTACCACTCCCCTGCTTGTGTTCCAGCTCTCACTGTGTCTCTCTCTGTCAAATAAATAAATAAAATCTTAAAAAAAAAAAAAAAGAAGTGACCCAAGAAAGCAGATTCTCAGCATAGGATTCTAGAACTGGATCAGACCTCAATGAGCACCCCATTCCTGGTGATTCATGCAGTAGTGATAACCCTTGACAATGCAGCAGCCTCATAATTACTAAAATTCTCACCAGTGGCATACCATAATAAGGTGTATAAGAAAGGTGAAGCATTGACTTAAGAGACAGAGGTAACATTTGAATGGCTTGTGGCAACAGTATTACAAGGATTATGGTGTCAGCTGGCTTTAGTTAATTGCTTTTGAAGTCTGTGGAAAAAAGTTAACAGGTTAGCTAGCAACATAAATATCTATAACTATATATCTATATATTTCATATATCTATATATTTCAACCCTGGCTTGAGTGTTACGCTGAACTGAACTTACTCACTTCTTCATCAGTCATTTCTTTCTGTCCCTTTCCCTAACTTCTCTGCTGCATGTGACAGTTCCTAAAAGTTCATTCTTAGGTTCTCTATTCCTTATTCTTTCCACTGATGAATTACCCTTGTCTCATGTCTTTAGTTATTATTTAGTTTCATTTCAGTGTCTCTCTGGTGTGTCTGCCATCCTTTTATTTAGCTTTAGATTCTTGAACATCTTGCTTCAAATGTGCTAAATGACATTGGACAGTGTGTCAGTAAATCGCCACAAGATGGCAGCCTTGCTAATTTTGGCTTCAAGTTGGAGGGAGTAGGAGTGACTTCTAAAAAGACTTTAATCTTATTTATTTAACATTTGTTGAAAGCCTGCTCAATACCTGGTCTTTTAATATATTAGTATTGGGTTTTAAAAAAAATTCATGAAAGTTAAGTATAATCCCCTTTGCAGATGAGAAAACTGAGTTGAAAATTGTTAACTTGCCCAAAGTCAGGACCTAGATTTGAAACCAGTTTTCTGACTCCACCCCCATTCTCTTTCCATTACGTAAGTGAATCTCAAGCTGCAACAGTATTATTTAGGGGTTTTTGTTTTCGTTTTAATTACAAGTTACCGAAAACCAACTTGAGCCAGTTTAACAACAACACAATAAAGCTTTTGGGAATGCTTCATGGAAGCCTAAAAGGAAACAATGTCTTGGCTTTAAAAGAGAGAATAGAGCTAGGAATTGGAAAGCCTTCAAGAGTTAGGGGAGGAAGGACAGAAAAATGGGGGAGGAGAAGAGAAAGGGAAAGCTGGGGTGGCCTAAGAGATTAAACTCTGCCCGGTTCCTCATTCAACTAGATTCAAAAATGGACTCAAAATCCATTTTTAATGCATTTTACATATTGGGGCCCCCATGTCAGGTTCTGTTTGAAAAATAAGGATTATAGGGGCGCCTGGGTGGCTCAGTCATTAAGTGTCTGCCTTCAGCTCAGGTCATGGTCCCAGGGTCCTGGGATCGAGCCCCGCATCGGGCTCCCTGCTCGGCGTGGAGCCTGCTTCTCCCTCTCCCACTCCCCCTGCTTGTCTTCCCTCTCTCACTGTGTCTCTCTCTGTCAAATAAATAAAATCTTTATAAAAAAGAAAGAAAAAGAAGGTTTGGATATATTAGTACTTTTAAACCATTGGTGTAATGTATGAAGCCATTCCCATATTACTGGACATTTAGGGCTGTTGAGGTTTTCCTCATTTTTCACTCTAGTAAGTAAAATTGTGATGCATATTCTTTCATATTGTACTAGACAGTGCATGAAGCCATCTAGTACTTCTATTTCTCCTGGCCCTTACAACTTCCCTTAAGGGAGGAAAGGGGTGAGGAGTGTAGCCTTAGGCAATTCTAGCTTGTGCCCAAAGGCCAGTGCTACTTGGGCCTTCCCTGATGGTCAGCCAGTCCAGAAATACTTAGCGCGCATCTAACTACATGCCAGGTACAACTGAGCACTGTGGACACAGTGGTGAATAAAATAGGTACAGCCTGTCATCATGGAGCCTAGTAGGGAAGACGGACATGAAACAGTCCACTAAATAATTACAAGAATCAGAAGCAAAGTGCTGTGTCAGAGAAGTTCAGAAGGTTAAGGAAATACACAACACAGTGAGATGACCTAATCTCGCAGGGAGAGGGGGGATTAGGGCAGGCTGCCCTGAGGAAATGTTATTTAATCTGAGACTTGTGAGATCGAGCCCCATGTCCAGCTCCACACTGAGGGTGGAGCCTGCTTAAGATTCTCTCTCCTTCTGCCCTTCCCTGCTCGCACATGTGCACTTTCTCTCAAAAAAAAAAAAAAAAAAAGAAAATGAAAGGTACACAACAGAGCCAATATGAAATCCTACATGCATATGTTGATTAGAGTTTAGTCCAACTGCCTGAGACTCATTCTTGTTCACTGTGGTTTTTGGCTCCAGTGTCTGGGCTCTTGATTCCACCCTCTGAATCATCCTTTCTTTCTCATAAGAAAATTCAGTTAGCAACTGGGTAGCCTCAAGGCCCTTCCAGCCCTCTGCCATGCAGTTCCAAAGCCAATGCCGATGTTTTAGGCTTTTGTTATGGCAACATCCATACCAAACTGTTTCATTATTGCTACATAGTGAATCACTCCCCAAATTTAGAAGCTGTATAAATTTGAGGCCTCTCAGAAGCAGATGCCAAGGATGGAATCAGAAGTCCAAGGAGGCGATGCCTGTGACAGATAAAGATGAGAGGAAGTAGGAGTAGACAGGGAGAATCTTCAGACCATGATGTGGGACCTACACCTGTAACAGAAAGATTGGGTAGAAAATGCTTCAAAGTTGCATTTTCTGAAGTGGGCAGGGAAGCTCTGAAGGAGACTTGGCCAGGCTAATTTCCCATTACAGCCCCACATGAGGGAGAAATAGCCCAGCTTCAGTATGCCCACGGGGCTTAGTCATCAGCAGGGACTAATCTAGGGAGAATGTGCCTTGGCATGAATGCCGTGGCAAATCCCAACAGTATGACAGTTGGCAGATGTCAGCTACCTAAGCTCTTCACAGCAGTTGTTTTCTAAAAGGTATATCTAAGAGCTCATGCACACAATCCGTCCCTTGCACTGCTCAGGATCCAATCTTCCACACATCTTTGGAAAGCTGCTCCTCCTTCCAGGCCTCTCTTATTGAAGGAAAACTTAGAAGAGGGAGGTTAATGGTATGAACGATAGCTCCCATCGCTGCAGATGGTTGAATTGTCTTTTTTTTTAATTAATTTAGAAACTCTTATTGTATATTACAGGTATTAATCCCTTTTCAATTCCATATATTGCAAACATTTTTTCCAATTCATCCTTTTTTTTTAAAGATTTTATTTATTTATTTGAGAGAGAGAATGAGAGAGAGAGCATGAGAGGGGAGAGGGTCAGAGGGAGAAGCAGACTCCCCGCTGAGCAGGGAGCCCGATGCGGGACTCTATCCCGGGACTCCAGGATCATGACCTGAGCCGAAGGCAGTCGCTTAACCAACTGAGCCACCCAGGCACCCTCCAATTCATCCTTTGACTTTGTTATCTTTTCCCTTATTAAAAAAAAAATGGATTTTTCTGAGGTCAAATAAACCTAACTTTTCCTTGATCTTCTGAGCTTTTCTCTTTTTTAAAAGGTCTTTCTAAATCTTAAATTATATGTTTAGACTCCAAAATATTTTCTTAAAATTTTTTTTTAACCTTTAAACTTTAATGCACCCAGAATTTATTTCTGAATGTAGTGAGTTTGGGAGTCCAATCTTTCTTTCTGGTGGTTGGCTAATTATGCCAGTGTCATTTATTAAATTTACTAAATAAACCACACATTCCTCACTGAATTAAAATACCATTTTGTCATTCCTAAAATCTTCATGTACACATGTCTGAACTCAGTCTATTTTTATGCTAACATTTACTTTTTCATAATCAGTATTTTATTACTTTTTTGATGATCAGAACACAGACACTATGAACAATTTGTACATAATTCTAAGTATTGAAAATCTCTCAAAGTTACATGGCTGTAATAATTTTTTTATGGCTGTAATAACTTTCTGAACAACTTTGCAATGTTCTAGCTTAAAAATTGCAATCGATTTGTTCATAAAAAGGGAATATTAAATACCAGTATCTTAAAATACTGATGAACTATTAGGTGTAAAACTCCACAAATTTATAGTTAAAATCAAGCATAATGCCTATACCATAAAATCTTCAGTACTTCATATTCCAGTAACAAAGAATGAAAAAACTAGATCATACCATGCAAAAGATGTCACAGATGGCATACAATTATGACAGGGATCCAAGACTAAGAAACATTAGTTTTGTCTTGTTTTAAGGTTTGATTTAATATATTTTTATTTAGAAAACTTTACCCAATATTAGAGTATATATTTTCATCAAGCATTTCCATGGAGCTTTTCAATTAGCAATAATCGCGCCTCGGATAAACCTCATTGGCTACGATACTGCCACTGCGCAAAGCTTCCATGGAGCTTTTGTAAATATTGTCCATACTCTGAACCATGCTCTACCTTTGTTGAAAACAAGTCTCAAATACCAAAGAATCAGTATTTTATTTACCACATTGTTTGTCTACCTCATAATTGGAGGACAATAATAGCAACACCTTAAAATATTCTGTATGTTTGGAAATATTAAAACATACTGCTAAACTGATCAAATAAGACAGCATATAGGAAATCAGAAAATACTTAGAACTGACTTAAAAAATACAATATATTGGATGCCTGGGTGACTCAGTTGGTTATATGTCTGCCTTCGGCTCAGGTAATGATCCCAGGGTCCTGGGATCGAGTCCTGCATCGGACTCCCTGTTCAGTGGGGAGTCTGCTTCTCCCTCTGCCCCTCCCGCATGCTTGTGATCTCTTTCTCTCTCACACACACTCTCTCAAATCAATCAATAAATAAAATCTTTTTAAAAAATACGACATATTGGCTTCCGGTCCGGCTCTGGCGTTTCGGCTGAGGGTCACATTGAGCTGCGAGGTGCTGCTGTGGTGTGTTTAGAATCAGCACCATGGCAGAAGACATCAAGACCAAAATCAAGAACTACCAGACCGCCCCTTTTGACAGCCGCTTCCCCAACCAGAACCAGACCAGGAACTGCTGGCAGAACTACCTGGACTTCCACCGCTGTGAGAAGGCAATGACTGCTAAAGGGGGTGATGTCTCTGTGCGCGAATGGTACCGTCGTGTGTACAAGTCCCTCTGCCCCATATCCTGGGTATCAGCCTGGGACGACCGGCAGGCAGAAGGCACATTTCCTGGGAAGATCTGAACTGGCTTCACCCACCTCTCCTCTGTCCTCCCTCCTTCTCCCAGGGAGGTGAAGGGGGACCTGGGTGCATGGTGATCCCCACCCTGGGATTCTGAATCATGGCTTAACTAATAATAAATACTCGTTGGAAAAGTGTAAAAAAAAAAAAAAAACACGACATATTAGGGGTCTGGGTGGCTCAGTTGTTAAGCATCTGCCTTCGGCTCAGGTCATGGTCCCAGGGTCCTGGGATCGAGCCCTGCATCGGGCTTCCTGCTCATGGGAAGCCTGCTTCTCCCTCTCCCACTCCCCCTGCTTGTGTTTCCTCTCTCACTGTGTCTCTCTCTGTCAAATAAATAAATAAAATCTTTAAAAAAATACGATATATTAAAACTTGTGGAATGTGTTTAATGCATAGCCTTGAGTGTTCATATTAGAAGATAAACCAATTACTTAAAAAGCTGAGCGTTGGGGTTCTTGGCTGGCTCAGTTCGTAGAACACACAACTGACTCTTGATCTTGGGGTGGTGTGTAGAGATTGGTTAAAAATAAAATCTTTAAAAAAATTTTTTAAATAAATAAAAAGCTAAGTGTTAAATTCAAGAAGTTAGAGAACAACAGAACTGATCCAAACAAATAGAAGTAATGAGATATAAAAATAAGAGGAGAAACTAAATAAATAGAAAACAAATACATGTGATTTAAAAAAGATTGGCAGGACACCTGGGTGGCTCAGTCGTTAAGCGTCTGCCTTCAGCTCAGGTCATGATCCCAGGTTCCTGGGATTGAGTCCCACATCGGGCTCCTTGCTCAGCTGGGAGTCTGCTTCTCCCTCTTCCCCTCCCCCAGCTTGTACTTGTGCTTGTTCTCTCTCTCTCAAAAATAAATAAATAAAATCTTTAAAAAATAAAAAAATAAAAAAAGATTGGCATAGGCAAAAGCTGATTCTTTGAGAAAAGTCATAAAAGAGACAAAACTCTAGTGAAATGATGAAGAAAAGGCACAAAAAATTTTGAAGTAAGAAAGAGGACATACTACAGATACAACAGACTGATGGAGTAACATATTTAAAAACTATTTACCAAAACAAAACAAAACAACAACAACAAAAAACTATTTACCACAGCTCACCCTCTAGCCAACATACCTCACATCCATCGAATATGCAAAATACATTCAACCTCCTGCCAGGACATTCTCATCACATTATGGTGTCAGCTCAATGTACGAGACCTCATCCTCTAAATGAGGTCGAGTTGTAGATGAGACTCTTCAGATGTGGTTCCTCTTGATCTGGAGTTATGTGAAATGAATAAATCAAGTTGTCTGCAACACAAACACAGTACACATTGGTGTTATGGGGTTAGGATAATGCAAAAAACATTTAAAGAGGTGGGGAGGGATAGGAAAAAGTGTTTCTTAGCAATCTGAAACCCATGCAATTCTGAAATCCCCAAACCCCATGAATATGTTTCTATTTACTTGATTGTGATGCAGTCCTGCTTCCTGGGAATGATTCTTTGTGGCTCTGAGCTGCTTTGTGGATTCGTGATTCTTCACTTTGAGTCATCCTTCCTTTCTTTTTTTTTTTTTTTAAAGACTTTATTCATTTGAGAGAGAGAGGGAGAGAGCATAAGCAGGGGGGAGGGGCAGAGGGAGAGGGAGAAAGAGACTCCCTGCTGAGCAGGGAGCCTGATGCAGGCTCATCCCAGGATCCTGGGATCATGACCTGAGCCAAAGGCAGTTGCTTCACCCACTGAGTCATCCAGGCGCCCCTCATTGTTCCTTTCTCATAAGAAGTGGCTCATATTACACTGGGTGATGTATGGAATTGTTGAGTCACTATATTGCACACCTGAAATTAATATAACACTGTAGGCTAACTATACTGGAATTAAATTTTTAAAAAGGAAATGGCTCATATTTGCTGCTGTGTAGACTTCACAGACTGCTTATTACGTATAGAAAGTTGGGGGTTTCCAGGGCTCTTTTCATTTTGAACTGTCCTTTTCACTTGAAGCTGGTGGTGTTTCCACAACGTAGTTCTCTTACATTTTATGTTTTTGTGAAACCCCTTTCTGCCTTGGTCTGAGATTCAGTATACTAAAGGAAAAACACCCTAAAGATTCTTTTTGTTAAAGGTTTATTTTATTTATTTTAGAGAGAGAGCTCACATGCACTCTGGGGGAGGGGCAGAGGGAGAGAATCTCAAGCAGACTTCTTGCTGAGCCCAGGCCTGTCATGGAGCTCAGTCCCACAGCTTGGAGATCATGACCTGGGCCAAAATCAAGAGTCGGACTCTCACCAACTGAACCACCCAGGTGCCCCAACACCCTTAAGATTCTTTTTATTTATTTATTTATTTATTTGAGAGAGAGAGAATGAGAGATAGAGAGCACGAGAGGGAAGAGGGTCAGAGGGAGAAGCAGACTCCCTGCCTAGCAGGGAGCCCGATGCGGGACTCGATCCTGGGACTCCAGGATCATGACCTGAGCCGAAGGCAGTCGCCTAACCAACTGAGCCACCCAGGTGCCCCACCCTTAAGATTCTTAAAAATTCTCTTGTCTAGTAAGAAAAAGAGTAAGAGGGATTTTATTTATTTTTTAAAAAAATATTTATTTAAGTAATTTCTACACCTAATGGACTCAAACTCACAACTTTAAGACCAAGAATTGTGCACTCCTCCGACTGAGCCAGCCAGGAGCCCTAGTAAGAGGTATTTTAACATTCTTAGAGGCCACTTCATTTACTTGAGAGGATCTATGAAACGTGCACTTAAAACTTCCTAAAATCTTAACAAAAATTCTTAAAACTGCACTCTCGACTCTATCTTTATCTTAAGAGTATTCTTCCTTTGAGAAACTTTTGATGGCTAGAAAGGCTGTCCTGAGCCCCTCGCATACCCTCTAAATTCTTTGAAGCTAAACAGTTCCCTTTTTAGCTTATCTCTCTCTTCCTGTATCTTATCATAGACAGCTAAAAGAAACCAGTTGGCACTTAGAACATTCTGCCTAGAGATCTCCTTAGCCAAATTCACCCATACATTAACTGTACTTTTTATTTTGTGTTTTATAACAGATGACATTCTTATTTATTTATTTATTTATTCTGGAGCGAGTGAGTGAGCACATGGGGGGTGGGGGGATGGAGGGGAAGAGGGAGAGGGAGAGAGAGATTCTCAGATCCCAGGCAGGCTCCATGCTCAGCAGTGGAACCTGATGTGGGGCTCAATCTCATGACCCTGAGATCATGACCTGAGCTGAAACTGAGTCAGACACTCCACCCAGGAACCCCCAAGTGACATTTTTCTGAATGTTTTACTACTGCATTACAGGAGTTGCCTTTCTCCCGCCTCCAATGACAATTTCCTTTCTTGCCTTCAAATCATCACTAATAGTCTCCTTGAGGCCCTGCCAGCTTCCAACCACTACTGGTCCCTAGCCATTGCCACATGGTTTAGGTTTTTGTCACAGCAGCATAATACTTCTAGTATCAATTTCTGTTCTAGTTATCTATTAGCTCATAAGAAACCACACCAAAACTTATTAATTAAAACAATAACTTATTATCCCTTATGCTTTGGTGGGTTGATTGAGCTCAGTTGGGCAGTCCTCATTTGGGGTGTCTCATATGATTACCCTCAGATGGTAGGTGGGACTGGAGCCATCTGAAGCCTTGACTGGGCTAGATATCCAAGCTGACTCATTCACATAACTGGAAGTGGATGCTGGCTTTCTGCTGGGAGCTTAGTTGGGTCTGTCAATCAAAGTGCCTACAGGTAGCCCATACACAGGGTTTGGGATTCTCACACTATGATGTCTGGGTTCTGAGAGGGACTATCTTAAGAAAAAACATTCTAAGATTCCAGATGAAAGCTACAGTGTTTCTTAAGATCAGAGGAAGTCCCAGAACAGTACTTCCTCTGCATTCTACTGATTAAGCAAGTCAGCATTCTGTTGATTAAGTGAGTCATTAAGTCCATTCCAGGTTCAAGGGGAGGGATAATGCCAGAGAGGCAATGAATCATGTTCATCCCTGGAGACTATCTACAGAATCAACTTTTGTAACCTAAGGGCAGGGAGAAAAATTTTTTAACTCTGAAAAGTGTAACTTGAATGGATTAGATTATATTAAAATAAAAACCTTTGGTTTAGTGAAGGACTGTGTGGGCAAAGTGAAAAGACAGATGACAAAATGAGAAAAGATACTTTCGATGTCTAATGCCAGTAAGAGATTTTTATCCAGAGCAGAGTTCAGCAAACTCTTTCCATAAACAATCAAGCAGTGAATATTTTAGGCTGGTTTTGTGATCCATTTGTTTTCTGACACAACTTTTCAACTCTACTGTTGTAGCTGGAAAGTGGCCACAGGCGGAAAGTGAATGGGTGTGACTCTGTTCTAATAAAATTTTATTTACCAAAACTGGAAGTGGGCCACATTGGGTCTATGAGCCGTAGTTTGCTGATCCCTGATCTAGAAAAGACAACGAACTCCTGTATATCAACAAGAAAAATACAGCAACTCCAATTTTAAAAATAGAAAGGGATATAAGTAGGCAATACACAGCAGAGGAAAATCAGAAGGGTAATAAGCATGTGAAGAGGGCACCTGGGTGGCTCAGATGGTTAAGCGTCTGCCTTTGGCTCAGGTCATGATCCCAGGATCCTGGGATCGAGTCCCGCATCGGGCTCCCTGCTCCTTGGGAGCCTGCTTCTCCCTCTGCTTCTCTCTCTCTCTCTCTGTCTCTCATGAATAAATAAATAAAATCTTTAAAAAAAAATAAGCATGTGAAGAGATATTTAAACTAAATTATAATCAGAGAAGTATAAATTAACAATGAGATATTGCTTTACATCTAATCAGACAGCAAAAATTAGGGAGATAATGGTGAGCTTTGTTGAGGAAATAGGGACTCTTCATGATGGGAATAAAGACAGGTGCAGGGGCGCCTGGGTGGCTCAGTCTGTCAAATAAATAAATAAAATCTTAAAAAGAATAAAAGACAGGTGGGGCGCCTGGGTGGCTCAGTCGTTAAGCGTCTGCCTTCGGCTCAGGTCATGATCCCAGGGTCCTGGGATCGAGCCCAGCATCGGGCTCCCTGCTCCGCGGGAAGTCTGCTTCTCCCTCTCCCACTCCCCCTGCTTGTGTTCCTGCTCTCACT